AGCCACAGTGGAACCAAGAGGTATGAGACAGAGTGGCAGGATTAACTGGCCCACAGAGCAAAAAAGTCACAGGCCAGGCTGAGAGGCCAAGGGTCAGAGAGGGATGTCTGAGGGCACAGAAGGAAGACTGTCCTGATTGAAGAACTGTACCTGAGTGCATTCCTGAACCTGAATTGTAGCCTGTTACTTCCCTAATAAACTCTGTAATCATAAATATTTTCTGTGAGTTCTATGTGGCCACTGCAACAGATTATCAAACCCAGCAGAGGAGCAGTGAGTCCCATAAAAGAGACAGTTGGTGTCAGAATTAGTAAAAAGCTGGAGTGTGGTAGTATGTCTGGCTTCATAGGAATGAGCCTTGGGTTACAGATGGTGATTTGTCTTCCTCATGGGAAGTTAGAGGAAATCAGAAGATACCACCTCAATGCCCTTTTGGCAGCTGCCATCAGAAGCGGGATTCATTGCAAGAGCTCCAGAATCATGGAAGCCTGGGACTTTGTAAGAGAAAGAAGGAAGTGGCCTGGGAAGTGAAACTGTTGATTCTTAAATGGTTACTTTGTTGTAACCTGTAAGGGTGGAAAGGAATATAAAATATATTATGCTGCAGTTGAGGGGAGAACGCCCTGAAGCAAAAACCAGGCCAATTAAAGGAGATAATTGATCCAGAGGCTAGGGCTTTTGGTTACACCCAGCCAAAGGCCCAAGACTATATGCATATAATGGAAAGATCAGCACTTGAGGAGATGAAACTATAATGTTTTAAAAGGATTATGTTTTGGATTATGTGTTTATCTGACTGTTCTATGGATATTGAATGTTCTCTTCACCTAATTGTAAATTAGAAATGAATATCGGGTATAGGTAACAGAGAGCATTTAAGTCTGTCTTCAGCCAAGTTTTGATTGGATATGTTAAAAGGGGAAATAGAATTTGCCCAGAGGAAATGCAGGTTTTTGTTTCAAGCCCTCAGTGTAGAGTATTAGGGGTTTAGGTAGAAAACCTGAGCCCCACCCAGAACATTCTTAGTTAGGAAATTTGCATTTGAAAAGGTATGGAAATCCACCTATATCTGTTGAGATAACAGAAGATTTGCATTTGAAGGAAGGAACTGTGGGGGGCGGGGAAGACTGGCTTTTCAAATTAATTTCAAGTGGTTTGGTTTTGGGTGCAAGGCAGGGAAGCCATATCACATGAGAGAAACCCTTTCCAGGACTGAAAGTTAAAGGGACCCAGAGATTAGCAGGTTTGTATGCTGCCTTTTGTGACCACCTGGTTCCACGTGATGAGTGCAAGTAGGGGAAATGAGGCAATGAAGAAACAGGCTGATTTGGTACTCTACCTAGCCAGTGGAGGTTAGGGATGAGAGGAAGGGCTGGATAGTCTGAAGTACAAGGATTTGCGTGGACTCCTAAGCCTATGGGCATTGAACTAGTCCCTGAGGACTAGGGATGAGAGAGAGAGAGAGAGAGAAGGTGCTGGCTGATCTGAAGTGAAGGGAAGAGTGTAACTCCCAAACTTGCAGCTGGTACCCATGACCTAGCCGGGATGGCTAGGGCTAAGCTGACCAGAACTTGACAAAATGAAGAGGAAGATGTTTGATGCCAAGCTGGTGCTAATTTGCTGCAATCTGATGGCTTATTCTGGACTAGACTTTGCTTATTTATATGGATGCGATGCTCAAAGTTCCAATCAGAACAGAAGATTCTTTGAAGAGAGAGGAACATGCTTATCTCTTCAGAGTGCTGATTTGATAGGGATGGGCAAATTAGAAATTGGGTATCTGAAATAGGGGGAGAAAAAAGCATGAAGTAGCTGGCTTACACAATTAGATGGATATGTTTTTTCTTAAACTGATTGTGAAGGGGATGTTATTTCTGAAATATGAAAGGGACAATGGCTAGAAAAGCCAAGGGGTAGACTGTGGTGTAGTGAATTAGTTGGTATGGCTTTTCTAGACATAGTCTCTGTAACCACCACTGGATTACTAGGTGAGATCATGCAAATAAGGTGCCTAGAATTCCGATGTTGGCATTGGTAAGTCTGATCACTGTGCCAGGCTTAAAATGTTCCCTCGTAGAGGCAGAGAGGTGATGAAGGTGGAGACGAGCACTTCTTTGGACCCAAGATCCCTGCACTGGACTTCCTTTGCAGAGATGACTGGTAGAGGGAGACGACCAGCAAAGAGACCCTTGCAGATAGAGTTCCCTGGCAGAGCGAGACATCTGGTAAAGAGACAGTCACAGTGGAAACAAGAGGCATGAGACAGAGTGGCGGTCTTCACTGGCTCATAGAGCGAGAAAGTCAGAGGCTAGGCTGAGACACCAAGGGCCACAGAGACATGTCTGAGGGCTAAGGAGAGGGAAGACTGTCCTGATCACAGAACTGTATGCTGAGTGCATTTCTGTACCTGAGTTACTTCCCTAATAAAGCTCATAATTGTGTGTATTGTCCGTGAGTTCTGTGTAGTCATTGCAACAAATTATCGAACTCAGCAGAGAAGTAGTGAGTGCCATGAGAGGGATGGTTTGTGTCAGAATTGGTAAAAGGCTGGAGGGTGGCAAAATGCCTGGCCTTATATAAGAATAAGCTTTGGGCTGCAGATGGTGAGTCTGTCTTCCTCTTGTGAAGTTAGAGGAGGTCAGAAGATGCCACCTTCACACCCTTTTTGCATAATGTTCATTTCTCTGTATTATTCTGAAATATTGATATTACAAATATCAAATTCTGTATCAAGTAACTACAGAAGAGATTTAATTATATAATACTTGAAGATAATTTTACATTCTCAGTCTTTTTTAGCAGATATTCATGATATTATATATTCGTTTCTGTATGTATGGCAGAGCAAGATATGGATGGCTTATGATAAATAAACTTGTTTCCAAATATGCAATGAGAAAGAAATCACTCTTGATCCAGGCTGACCTTTTAACTTGATATCAATATTTCTGTCTTTTGATTTCTAAGAAATAACTTCCCACTTGTGTTTGGAGAGGCAGTCAATCTGGTTGTCAGCTAAAATAAAAGTTTATGCATTTTCAGATGAGGTCTTTTTCTCTTGTGGAATAAGGAGGGCTTTGGTACTATCTGGATCTGATTCTCTCCATTTTGAATTATGGTTAAACTCTAACTTGTCAACATTAATTTGGACAGATATTTTCACAGTTTAAGGTTTTAGAGGAAATTTGAAGACAACATAACAATTGAATATTTTTAAAGAGTCAATAGAAATCAAGGAAGTCTAATATATTTTCTTTTTTTTTTAATAAATACATAAAGCTTTTTACCATTTTCCTTCAATTATTTTGATTAACATGATAATAGGATCTTTCAGAGCATAATTATACCAATTTTCACAGCCTGATGTAAAGGACTCATTTCACAGAAATAATCATGACTAGCATTAATAGAGAAATGTCAGTGTCATAACACAACAGTAAGGCATATTTACACCATCTTAACATACAGAACACCATACACATACACAAAAAAATCACAGATCTGGAACAAACAAAATCCAGTCCCCTAGACACTTACATTTATAGGCTTTGTCTGAAACTTTTTTTTTTTTTTGCTTTATTTTTTTGTAATTTTATTTTCTTTCCAAGCAACAAACAGATCTTCCCTATTTCATGTGAGTTACTTATAACATTGTGCTCATGCAAAAATAATACTTGTTTTATTGCATTAACATTTACACAGTTTGGGATTTGGGTCCTAAAACCACCATCTAAAATTTTACTTGATGTGCTTCATCCATATTGTCATTTTAGGTGATGTGACAAGATGATTTGTTTTTGGTGAGTTGCGAAATGGCAAACATGTCCAGTTGATCACAGTTCGAAAATCAAGGTTCTAATTTTCTTGACCATGCACATTTTACTTTCTTTCTTGCAAAATGATTTGAATCAGATACACAATTTTGATTAAACAATTGTTTCATTTTTTTCAAGATATTTCTAAAAAATAATAATAATAATGAAATAAAACGTTGTCCCACATCCACTGTTCACAAATAGGAAGAGCAGCAAGAATCACACTGACCAGTGTTACGGCATCAGTCAGGTGGTGACACTGTAGTAAACATTGAACATCATCGAAATACTGCATGAGTGACATAATTACTATAACCCGTATTTCTGTAACAGTTCAGACTGCCATTGACGTTTGCGTTCTGGAAAATAATCTGGAATGTGGATTTTTTTAAAATCCTGAATACATTTTTTCATTTCTTCTTCAACACTCAGCTTCTCGCAGACTTTCTTTTTGGAAAGATTTGTTTCCCGAGACTTGCTGATGAGGGTTTGAAAGAGTTCACTGTTTCTGCGTTTGTCGGGTGGGGGCATCCATTGCACAGGTGCTTTTTTGGAGGGACGATCCAACGTTAAAGTGTTAGGTTGGTGAGCCGTTGCCTGCTGAGAGTTGGGTGGGTTCTCCTGTGGAGTGCTTGCCTCCGAGTGGCTATCACAACTGGAAGTGGAGAGCTCATTACAGGAAGTCCCACTTTCACTTCCTTTATCCGCAACCTTCTCGTGTTTCCTATCTTCATGTTCTTGTTTAGGTGATACTATTTTCTGAGGTGGTCCTAAAAAAGAAAAAGGAGTAGAACAATTGAGTAAGAGTAGAAAGGTCAAATTAAATAACCTTTATATCTTCTATTTTAAACTAAGAACATTTATCTTAAGAAAAATGCTGTTTGCTGCATTTCTCCCTATTTGAGGGATTAAATACAGTACTTAGCACCTTTAGTGCACGCTGAAATATGTAGAATAATGATTATCCATAATATTTGTGAGGTTTGCTTAATGAACATTTCTGCCACAATAGATCATCAACAATTTCATACTGAACAGAGAAGTGTTCTTATTTTAGTTACTAATTCTGGAAATATGGAAAAAAAAAAGATGTTAAATGTAAATTTGCTAGTCCCTTATTAGGCAGTTCATTTCTGTACCAGCTACTGGCATTAGGTGTTCTTTCTGTATATACTTTGCCATTGTATAAGCCAGAAAGTACTCAAACTCACTCACTGCCGTCGAGTAAGATCCAACTCATGGTGACCCCTTCTTGGGTTTCCGAGGCAGTATCACTATGGAAGTAGATTGCCCAACCTTCCTTCCGAGGAGTGGCTGGTGGGTTTGAACAGCCAGCCTTCTGGTTAGCAGTCAAGTGCCTTAGGCACTACGCCCCAGAGCTCCTAGTGCTCCATTTTACAAAGTAGTAGTATTCTCAAGGCTCAGAGGTGCAATAGCATCATTTATGTTTCCAAGAGGGAGGCTGGTTTAAATCTTATCCTAAGTCTCTTAATCTTGTTTTCTGTCTGTTTCTTTGGGAAGAATTATGAAACTGCTGTAAGATAAATATAGGCCTAATATTATGGTGAAAAAATATAGCTGAAATACAGTATTCTCTTAAAATACAAGGCTTACCATTTGTGGTAAATTACCAAGGAGAGTAATTTTCTGAAAGTGATAGTTTGCCCAAATAATTATTTCAAATACAGAAACAGTTCATTTCTAAGAGGGAACATATTTTATTTTCCTTGACTCAGCTGTGGGTTTAGAGCTTCCATTTAATATTTACTGAATACCACCACATACCCAGAACTACACTAAAAACTTGATTAACTGGAGCCCAGCCATTCAGAAATGTAAGTTACCTGAATCTTACAGTTCTCTTGAAGTAAACTTTTATAAACAAATTGTATAAATCAGAATGGGGGAACGGCATCATTATTTACACTGTGAAGCCTGAGTTGGGGAAAAAAAATCTAATTCAGGGGATATCAACCTTGTCTACATATTTGAATTGCCTGAAAATATTAGATTATTGATTCCTGGGTCCCAGCTCAAGACATCCTGAATAAATGGTGTGTCTCCTGGCTTTCAGGACATTTAAAAGATCTCCAGGTGATTTCAACGTAAAGTCAAAGTTATGAACCTTTGTTCAGTCTAATATATATAATATAAGCTAATAACCAGCATTGATACTTATATTACTCAGCTAGGTAAGACCAACCAGCAAAAATGCTATTCAAAATAACACCTACTATGTGTAACATGCTTTTGCATGCACAGTGCTACATTTTCCTACTTAAGAATAAGAAGAAACAAAAAGTAATACCAAACATTCAGTTGGTTGACATTAATGAATGGAAAAAAAATCCTTTGAAACTATTCAGGATGATAGAAAAACTCTTTGAGTGTGGTGTGGGTTACATGACCATTTATGAAAACTGATAGAATTGAATGCCTAAAATGGGTGAATTTTACTGTATATAACTAAACTTCAATTAATCTGGTGTTAAAAAACAAAAACAACCTAAACAATATATACTTATTGAGGGAAAGTCTTTAAATCAATATTTTACACTTCCTCCTGCAATACAGTAAATAAGAACAAATGCTAATGCTTATAATTGCCTAGTAAGAAATTACACTCAAATATTTCAGAGGCATTTGCTACAGGATAAACAAAACATTTTTTCAGTTCTCTGCCATTTTAATTTACTGTAAGGGAGAACAGGGATGAGAATGGAGATGATGAATTTTTAACTCTCTCTACTAAAAGCCATCCATCATATTTACCAGATCTATTCTTCCCTGCCCTCTGTCCTGAGTGGCTGACAGGCATGAACTATATCCTTAGGCTCTTTTTCCTACTGGTTTCCAGTTGCATTCAGCCAA